TGGAAGTTGGACCTCTGCCAGCAAAGTTTTGGATTACCCCGCTGTACAATGTTTCCACTGTACAGTGAACTTCCGGGCTGTACAGTTTGTTTCCCCCCGCTGTACAGTTTGTTTCCCCCCGCTGTACAGTTTGAATCCCCCGCTGTACAGTTTAATCCCCCGCTGTACAGTTTGTTTCCCCCTGCTGTACAGTTTGATTCCCCCCGCTGTACAGTTTAATCCCCCCGCTGTACAGTTTGTTTCCCCCTGCTGTACAGTTTGATCCCCCGCTGTACAGTTTGATCCCCCGCTGTACAGTTTGTTTCCCCCTGCTGTACAGTTTGATCCCCCGCTGTACAGTTTGATCCCCCGCTGTACAGTTTCTTTCCCCCTGCTGTACAGTTTCTTTCCCTGCTGTACAGTTTGATCCCCCCGCTGTATAGTTTGTCCCCCCCGCTGTAGTTTGATTCCGCCGCTATACAGTTTGAGCAACCCCCACTATACAGTTTGATTCCCCTCAGCTTGTATGTACGTAGTGGGCATTGGATAGTATTCACCTCATCCCCCCATAAAAACCATAACTTACCCCTTCAAATAACGACAGACAACTTCTTGGGAAAACAGGCCACAGCATTTATTAACATCACCAAATACTGTATTAACTCCTTAAATATATAACATAATAAATTAACATAAACACTTTTTATACAGTCATACAGTAATCAAGAAAACCGTCCTTGCCAATCTAACTTCCCCAAGGCTCTCACCTCCCCCCCTTGGCATAATACAACCTCAACCATAATGCTCCCCACCAGTCGACTTACAAACCAGTGGGGACACGTCCAACCTAGTACCTCCTCCAGGTTCACCATAAGAGACAGGGGGAGGATGAGACCCGGCCATTATCCCCCTTTTCATCTAATCTATCATCCCTTATTTGGCAAGGATATGCCCCGCCACAAAACCCGCTGTTTTAAGCCTAAAATCAGCGGGTGCCCCCACCGAAACCCCCATGGCCTGTTCTAAAGCTTCTTGAAGCGCCAAATTAAACAGGTCGAGCCCGACCTACGTCAGATGCACCCCATCTGGTCGAAAAAAATGTGCCGCATCTTTTTCAAAAACCTGGTGCCGTATCGAGATTTCCCCAAACCCCGTTACAAACTTCGTAATCCGCCGATTAAACTTCTTCCTGCTGCGCTCCAGTGCACTCTGGCTGTGGGCCTGCCGCCAAAAAATCCTCGCCACTACCTCAGACCAAATCAAGGATACGTCGGGGAACAAGATCAAGATCTGGGACAAGTCCCTCCTGACCATGTCCACCAGGCACGGTCCCCAGATCGTTACCCCTCAGATGGATAATCAAAACCGATGGAGCCCAAAGCAAGCAGGAAAGCCTGACCAAGTCAGGGAGGAGCCGGACCCACCTCATGCCTCTGACCCCGAACCACCGTACCTCCGCAGTTACCGGTGTGAGACCGCGACGCTCCAACCTTGGCCGGACTGCCGCTCTCTGCCTCGCCCAGTGGATATAGGAGTGGCCAATCAACCAGACCTTGTAGGGGACCCGACCTGGGGAGGAAAACAAAACAGTCTAGCTCAGGAGACCGGCAAACCCCAGGCGAAACACCCTGACAAACTGAAAATGGGAGAGGAAGCTCCCATCCTCGTGCACTAACAGGGGGCCAGCGCAGGGAGAACTGCGCAAAAACATCGGAAGGACAGAACTGGGCAGATGGCCAACCCTGGGGCAGCTGCCAGCTGAATCCACTTACCTTTACCAAACACGTCCGTCTTAAATCGGCCCGTCCCTGACATCCGCGAAGAGGATTCACCCAATGGTTGCCCTGCTTGGACACACCAACTCCCCAATCCTCATGGCCCCAAAGAAAGCAAACAAAAAGGCCAAGCAAAAAAGCCGCACCTCGAAGTCCGAGAAGCACACCTGCGGGAGCACGTGGCACAACTGCGCCAGGAGCACCCCCGACACCGGCCTCCGGGTATCCACTGTAACCCGACCCCTACGCAGCCCCTTAACTGCCTGCCTCACCACAAACTCCTTGGTCACATCCCCCCACCCTTGCAGTTTAAATAAAAAACTCAGCCCAGCCAGGCGTGAGGACACTGCCAAAGGCGACATGCCCGCCGACACCCAAGTGTTCAATAGCCGCAACAAACCCCGCAATCGAGCAGACGTATCCTGGAAAACCCCCAGACCTGTCTCCCACTCGAGCCATTCCGCCCATACCTTTGAGTATCTGGCCCAAGTGGAACCCGATACAGACCCTCGAACAAGGTCCATCAGCCCGTCGAGCCCAGGGACCATAGTTCCACCGGACACCGGCACCCATCCTCGTCCGCGTGGGGCGCAGCTGCCCGGAACTCCGACCACTGCGAATGAGAGAGAGCATCCGCAATTACATTGTGAACCCCCTGGAACGTGCAGCGCCCTACAAGACACGTTAAGGCACAGGCACCGTAGCACCAGGCGTTGGAGCAAACGAACCACTGGCGGGGAGGAGGCAGAGAGCTGGTTAATCACCTGCACGACCCCCAGGTTATCACAGTGAAAGACAACCCGCCGATCCCGCAAGTCCAGACCCCAGAGCGCCAACGCCACCACAATGGGGAAAAGTTTGAGGAAAGCCAGATTCTTAGTCAGGCCAGAGGCGTACCAGTCCCCAGGCCAAGTGTCAGCGCACCAGCGCGACCCCAGTATCGCCCCAAAGCCGCCGGAACCCGCTCCGTCCGTATAGAGGTGGAGATCCGCACCAGACACCTCTTGCGCTTGCCAATACGACCTCCCATTATAATCCGACAAGAACGTACCCCAAACGTCCAAATCGTCCCATAACTGCCTCGTGAGTCTAATGTAGTGCCGAGGCCTCGCCACCCTAGTGGTTGCGGCCGCTAGGCGCCTGCTAAAAATCCGCCCCATGTGCATGATCCTGTATGCAAAGTTCAACTTCCCCAACAGCGATTGCAGCTGGCATAGCTGTATCTTCCGCAAGCCCCGTGCTACCGCCACGTCCCGGCGCAACCCTTCCACCTTGTCTAGGGGCAGCTGGCACTCCAAGGCCACCGAATCTATCTCGATGCCCAGGAAGTTAAGGCACGTTACCGGCCCCACAGTCTTATCGTGCGCAAGGGGAACCCTGAAGCGCCCAAACACCCTTTCCACCATGGTGAGCAGGCTCCTACACGCCGGATAAAGCGCAGGGCCCAAACACAGGAAGTCGTCAAGGTAATGCAGCAGCAAGTCAATCCCTGACTCCTGCCGCACCACCCATTCCAGGAAAGTGCTGAAGCACTCAAAGTAAAAGCAGGATATGGAGCACCCCATCGGGAGGCACATATCCACATAGTACTGGCCCTGGAAACAACAACCGAGGAGGTGATGGCAATCGGGGTGCACCGGCAACAAGCGAAACGCTGATTCCACATCCGCCTTTGCCAGCAATGCCCTGAGACCCGCCGCCCTGACCATGCGTACTGCTGCGTCAAAGGAAGCATAAGACACCCGACACAGCTCGGCAGAGATGTCATCATTTACCGAGCCCCCGCGAGGGTACGATAAATGGTGAATCAGGTGAAATTTCCCCGCCTCCTTCTTGGGCACCACCCCCCCGCAAGGGAGATACCCACAAGTTGGACAATGGAGAGGCCTCGAACAGCCCCGCCACCCACACTAGTGAAACCTCCTTCCGGAGCTTTTCGAGGACCACATCAGGGAAATAAAACACCGACTTCAAGTTCCTGACTGCCCCGGAGGAGGGGCGCTCCGAAACTATCTGGGTAAACCCCTCCAGCAGCAACCCCGCGGCCCGGCGGTTCCTATAACGGCCGAGCCAGGGACGCATCACGTCCATGGCCACTGGCGTCTTCGCCCTTAGTCCCCACATCGCCTTTGTCCCCAGACTTACCACGCTTAAAGCAGTGGGATGCCGAGTGGGTACCCCCGCAATGGGAGCATTCGTGTTTAAAACGACATGTTGCTCCCCACTTGCACTGGCTGTCATTGAACTTCCAACAACAGCCCGGCCGCCTGTGTGAGGCCGATGGGGCAGAACCGCTCCCCCCACCGGCCCCCCCCAAGAAAGGACGACGTCCCCCCTTGATGCGCCGCCGGGCGAGTCATGATGGACAGCCACAGGCCAATGTCCATCTGATCCCACGAGATAGAGGGGCGGACAGCAAGCCGCTGACGAAATTGTTCGTCATAGCGCCACCAACCCAGGCCGCCATAGGTCCGACACGCATTCCAAATGGTGTCCTGATATCAAAAGAGCGCTGAGCAGTGCTGGGGAGCCTTTTGCCCAATCACGCACGCCAAAATCGAAAAAGCCCGTACCCAGTTCCCGAAAGTTTTCGGAATCTTCCTGTAACGGAACTTCTCCCTATCCTTGTCCGACTCTTTTCCCTCCTTGTCCCCCAGAGGAGGTGCATCCTCCAAGGGCAACAGGGAAAATATCTCCACGAATTCCCCTTTCCTTTAGAGGCGACGCCTGCTGTACTATCCAGCATCCCCCGTCGCCACCACCTCCCCCCCCCCAACCACCGCGCCAGGAACCGAACCCGCGCCCCCTCCCGCGGCTGAATCCGCCTGGGGCAACGGAGGGGACCACACAGAACGCAGCTGACCATCCAACCCATGGGACCCCTGCGCTAGCGCCCCTCGCTGACACTGGGAAAAAAGCTCCCGCAGACCCAACAGGAACCCACCCAGCGTGGACGCCCCAGCAAGCGCAGGAACATGTGACTCACCTGGCAGCTCCTGTACCGGGCCCGAGTGGAGGCAGTTGGGCTCAGCTGAGTCGGAGGGCAGGTGCGTCGACCCGCGCTGGACTGCCACCCAGGGAAGGTACCGCAGGGGGCAGGGATGGAGGAGCCACAGCGCTGGGAGGGGGAGCCACATCGCCAGGCGGCTGTGGCTGGAGCAGGCGCTCAAACTGGTCGCGGAGCTGCCGGCCACCGTCTGCTGCTGCACTAGCCCTGAGGGCAGACAACATAGCCTCACTGTCCATGCCACAGGCTGAATATCCTACAGGCCCAAACAACAGGAGGAGGAGGATCACAGGAAACTTGTTGCTGGCCCGGCTCCTAAGTGGCACTGAGGTCAGTCTGATCTGTCACCACCCACTTCCTCACATCTCACACTCCCACACGTAGCACATAGCCAATCATGCACCATCCATCCCACACTCCCACATGTAGCATATAGCCAATCATGCATCATCCATCCCACATTTATACATGTGCCCCTGTCCGCTAAGCTGCGCACTCTCCCTGGGGCCTGAACAGATTGAATCCCCCCTCTTAACAGTTTGATTCCCCCCCGCTGAACAGATTGAATCCCCCCTCTTTACAGTTTGATTCCCCCCGCTGTACAGTTTGATTCCCCCCCTCTTTACAGTTTGTTCTGCCTGACTGAACAGTTCGTTTCCCCCGCTGATGAGTTAAGATCAGCCATCAGTCAAGGTACACAGGTACACAGTGACCCTACAATACGTCTCAGCGTTTACGTACTTGGAGTCAGTTCTTCATAGAATCATGCATGTAGATGGAGCAATGTCAGATAATAAGATTAAGCAGTCCATATGTTACCTTCTTAACCGTAACTGAACCCCATAGAGGGTGAATCATAGTTTAAAGACCCCATATCACGGACTGGCTCGTACCCCACATGCTTTCACAGGGTCTCAAAGTCTGATAACAGAAAGACATTTCTCAGGATCTTTAAAGACTAATATGGAATATATTTTGAGAAACAAAAGAAAAAGTACACGTATTCAGATTTAAGAAATGATTCCGCAATGTTAGGGGGGAGGGGCAGCATGTTTTGCTGCTGGTCTTTGTGAAATCATGATTGGCATTTCTCAGAGAGACACGTTGAGGGGAGATACTGAGTTATGGTTCCTCTGCTGGCAATCTGAGCGCCAGGCTTACTGCGCCTTCAGCTGTAACAAAATCTGTTTAGTGTACTCGATGCCAGAGCTATAAAACACAACTATAGTTCAGGTATAAACAGCTCAATGACTCACGTGTGACTGTAAAAACAAAGCACTTGTTACAGTAACAGGTTATTAACCCACTAAGTGCCAGGACGGTGTGTAACCTGTTCTGGTGTAATGTGCTGATGGCTGGAGATATCTAATCCAACTGATACTATTACTACCGTGCTTGGCACAATACCGGCCAAGGCATCTACAAGAACTTTCTCAGAGCTAACCTTCCTTACTGTCTGTAACGGACCGTTTAGCATAAAAGGGGAAAAAAACCGCTTAGACGATAATCCCCCTTTCAGAGACAGGCACAGCTACTGAATAATCACCAAAACTCACGAACCGCCAATAAGTGAATGCTCCAAACTCCCGAACGGCATACAAGGGATTAAGGTAGCACTTCAAATAAACGAACAGGAACCATACGAATAGCTGCTAGCAGGCGAACAGGAAAAGCTTCCAAGCGGCTTACACTCCTGGCAATCAGTCCTTAGCAGCATACAGTAAATCCCCCCAAAGACGAGACAAGGCTCCGTGTTGAGGGTCAAGCAGTGGTCTGTTTAATGAGGGCTACCTGCCCGGCTTTTATGCAGGTCTCCCACCTGGTGGACACTCCCCTAGGGGACCAGATGGAAGACTGTGACAAGGGACAGACAAGTATACAAATAGGACACACAGTCACAGTATATTCCCACAATGCATCCTGGCTTCCTCCCCTCTGCCCTGGGAGATAATTGGGAAGTAACTCAATTATCTCCCAAGACAAAGGCAAAACTCCATTACACACGTGGGAACACAAAACAGCATTATACTTTAAAATGCACAAAGTAACATTTACTACATAAAACACCGACATGTAACACATCCCCAGATAGCTCAGGTCTGAGTGCACATTATTAAGTGAATGGCACTCAGCCTACACGAATACAGTTCAATCGCCATGGAGCCAAAGTCTTTACAGTCAGTTTCATACGAATGGGCTCCATGGGATTCCTATCTGGGGTATAAGAAATTCACACAAAAATACCGAACACCGGGTCATTCGTGTGCTTTCACCGAACAAGAAGGGAGGTCGGCGGCTTCAGCGGTGTTCGCGCAAAACTGTGTCCGATTTTAGTTCCATGAAAATAGAGGCGAACACCGCTGTTCATTCGTATGGTTTAAAATGGCCGCGACCTCGTGTTCGGGATGCGAACGGCGGCCACCCAGCGTTCATCAATTAAGCTGCGGTTAACCGCAGCTTCAGGGAGGTTAATTGCCGGCACACTCCAGCTCCCAGGTGGTCCAGTCTTCGTACGGTTGTTCGGTAGATTGAAACTACCGAACAACCGGCAGAAAAGCATGAATATGGCTTTTCTGCTGGAAAAATAAAGACTTTTAAAAGGGGCCATAGTCCAAAGGCAGCAGGCGAGCAACCAGGCTTCTCCAATGCAATGTGGCGAGATTGGTCTCGTCACATCTCTCCCCTTTTCCAACAGACTAACAGGGTATCTGACCTCCTGCCGGTCAGTGCCCTTGTTAGTCCAGCAGCCCACCCACAACAAATAATCCACAGCACAGCCCACCCACAATAAATGGTTACTACACCTGGGTAGAGAAGAAGCTTGTCCATGTCCAGGTGCTTCACCACGGCTGTGCTGGGTACGGGTACGCTGACTTGGTGGGTTGCTGCGTGGGCAGAGACCAGCGGCACTCTGCTCTGTTGCCAGCGCTACTGGGAGGGTAGCCTGGTGGAAGCCTGGTTGTTGGAGGGGGAGACCGACTGTCTCCCCTTTAAATACACCGCTCTGCTGCTGCTGCTGGAGACTGACTGTCTCCCCTTTAGATGCACAGTCCTGCTGCTGGAGACCGACCGTCTCCCCTTTGGCTAAACAGCCCTGTCGCTGGGGGGCAGGACCGACCGTCCCTACCCCCTGTGCTGGCAGTGTAGAGACTACGGTCCCATCTGCACAGTTGTGGGGCTTACTGTCTCCCCCTGGTACATTAAGCTGCCGCTGGGGAGAGGGGATAACAGGCTCCTCTCCCATACATACTTCCAGCTGCGGGGGAGGGAGACCGACTGTCTCTGCTCCCCATACAGAGTCCTGCTGCTGGGGAAAGGAGACTGGGCTCTCTATTCCCGGTAGGACACTCTGCCGCTGGGGAATGGAGACTGGGCTCCCAATTCCCAAAGCATCATTCTGCCGCTGGGGAATGGAGACTGGGCTCCCAATTCCCAAAACATCACGCTGCCGCTGGGGAGGGAGGACACTGCTCTCCTCTCCCTGGATTTCCCACTGCCTTCCTGGCATATCACCTGGCTGCTGGGGGGCAGGAACAACTACCTCTGCCCCCTGTAACTCAGCCTGCCGCTGGGGAATGGAGCTCAGGCTCCCAATTCCCTGCAATATCTCCCGCTGGGGAATGGAGCTCGGGCTCCCAATTCCCTGCAATTCCTTCTGCTGCTGGGGGGCAGGAACAACTACCTCTGCCCCCTGTAACTCAGCCTGCCGCTGGGGAATGGAGCTCAGGCTCCCAATTCCCTGCAATTCCTTCTGCTGCTGGGGGGCAGGAACAACTACCTCTGCCCCCTGTAACTCAGCCTGCCGCTGGGGAATGGAGCTCAGGCTCCCAATTCCCTGCAATATCTCCCGCTGGGGAATGGAGCTCGGGCTCCCAATTCCCTGCAATTTCTCCCGCTAGGGAATGGAGCTCGGGCTCCCAATTCCCTGCAATTCATTCTGCTGCTGGGGGACAGGAGCGACTATCTCTGTCCCCTGTAACTCAGCCTGCCGCTGGGGAATGGAGCTCAGGCTCCCAATTCCCTGCAATATCTCCCGCTGGGGAATGGAGCTCGGGCTCCCAATTCCCTGCAATTTCTCCCGCTGGGGAATGGAGCTCAGGCTCCCAATTCCCTGCAATATCTGCCGCTGGGGAATGGAGACTGGGCTCCCAATTCCCTGCAGGACCGGTGGAGAGACCTCGGTCCCATCTCTACCGGCCACCTGGGGTTCTTCCCAGAAAATATCCACAATGTCTTCCCAGCTGAATGGGTCTGGCTCTGGGTCTGTCATGCTGCTCTCCTGCTGAGCCTTCTCGCTGTATTGAAACAGTTGCTGGTAGCCCTGTTCTAGCTCCATCTCCCGGGTTACCAGGTGGACCAGGTCTTGCTCAATTTTGTGAGCGTCGTCCCAGTCATACCTGCTCTCCCTCCACTCCCAGAGATCACTGAACTGGGCTTGTGTAGGGCTCCCAAATTCGAGCTCTGAAAACGACTCCCATAACAAGCCAGGACCATCAAACTCCTCTCCCTCTGGCTTGTCATGCTCGGCTGTCCAGGGTAGGTACTGTGCCCCATACCACCAGAGCGCCTGGTAGGAATCTTCCAGCCAAATCTCCTGCCATACCCGGTGCTCCAATTCCTTCACCCATTCATCCAGGGGCTGTTCTCCCAGGAAGGGCATCCGCAGGGCTACTCGCTTCTGCAACCGCTGGTCTTCCTTGGGGAGTCTCTTGCCCCGCTGGTACTTCACAATACCCAGTGCCTGGTACCAGATGCCTTTACGGACTGCATCTCGGTCATCCATGGCACCCTCATCATACTCCACTGCTGGTTCCATGCTGGTGCTGTCAGGGTCGCTGTACTGGGACATGCGTTGCCCTCAAATTGTAAAATCCAAAGAAATGGTGTCTCCTGTAGCTGTCCTTCTGGTTGTAGGAACGATCACGCCGCTTGCCACCAATTGTAACGGACCGTTTTGCACAAAAGGGGAAAAAACCGCTTAGACGATAATCCCCCTTTCAGAGACAGGCACAGCTACTGAATAATCACCAAAACTCACGAACCGCCAATAAGTGAATGCTCCAAACTCCCGAACGGCATACAAGGGAATAAGGTAGCACTTCAAATAACCGAACAGGAACCATACGAATAGCTGCTAGCAGGCGAACAGGAAAAGCTTCCAAGCGGCTTACACTCCTGGCAATCAGTCCTTAGCAGCATACAGTAAATCCCCCCAAAGACGAGACAGAGCTCCGTGTTGAGGGTCAAGCAGTGGTCTGTTTAATGAGGGCTACCTGCCCAGCTTTTATGCAGGTCTCCCACCTGGTGGACACTCCCTTAGGGGACCAAATGGGAGACTGTGACAAGGGACAGACAAGTATACAAAAAGGACACACAGTCACAGTATATTCCCACAATGCATCCTGGCTTCCTCCCCTCTGCCCTGGGAGATAATTGGAAAGTAACTCAATTATCTCCCAAGACAAAGGCAAAACTCCATTACACACGTGGGAA